AGGTTAATGGGATAACTCGTCACTAGGGCACCAGGAAAGAAACGTCCATAAATTTGAATAAGTTAGTTTAAGGTAAAGACCAGTATTGGAAACGCCCCAATTTCAAAAAATGAAATGGAAGCTCTTACAGTGTATTACCAATCATGTGAAAGAATATGTTTTGAATAATACATGATGATAACAATTTTGCCGGGAAACCGCCTACTAATTGATATATTTGGTAAATTAGTTTATCTATTGGGATGTGAGAGATAAAAACGCATGTGTCGAGCACGTGTGCGTAGTCCCATATACATCTTTCTGTGTAGTGTGTACAGTGCTTGTAACTTTATTATTAAAGACTGGGCCAAATTTCTTATCATTTTGATGATTCCAGAACCTTGCAGTACATCTATAGACTATAGATGATCAACCTTTTCTGAACGATTTCACAACGTTTCTTTCCCAATGCAATCCCATGACCATAACTGGTCTTTATCTTTAACTGGTCTATTCTGTAATTACCCATAAACAACCTCCCAGTGTTGGGAATTTGTTTCGACAATGTACATTTGTCAATGGAGGAGTTAAACAATCAGTGTACATGAAGCTGTACCCTAACTTCCAGAAGAACAACTGTCATGTCAACAATAGAAACTGATCTTTCTGTCTGTAATCTGTCACACAGGTAGCAATTCCTTGCTTCTGAAAAGCAGCACCGTATTACGTACGTAAGTCAGAATCCAGTGTGTTTGCTCAATGTAAACAATGTACTCATATGAATCACACAAAGACATACCGGTAAGGCATTTTCCTGTGCAAAAGTCACACATGTTTAAAGTTGATTTAGAGTTTTGGTAAGCCGTCCAAATAAAATTCTTCATATTTCTAGGGGTGGGACGGTCCTAGCCTAGGGGGAGTGTACATGAAGCATTCCTAGCAGATATTTACACTACAAGTCACAGGAAATCATAGATAAAATACCAAACAATCTCATACATAATATATATTTTGATGTTTCTTTCCAATTTTCTTTTGCTTCTGAAACTGTACAAAGGCTTTAAAGAGGAGGTTGACTTCGACACTAACAGGTTTTACATACCAGTACACATGGATGTAGGGATCATGCAAACAGACTCTGAAAAGCCCAATCCGGACCCCCTTCAAAAATAAGTTATTGCGGAGCCTGTGTATTGAAGGTCTATGAGTTGTAAAAATGAAACACCCTTAGAGACTGGTAACAACACCCATTATGAGTACACAACCAAAAAGTGTTATACTCCCCATGAGAATCAATGATCGGTCTTTAAAGGTACTATGTCCCATTTGCAGGCCGAAAAAATGAAAAAGTTAAATTCCAACTGCATTTGAAAGATAATACTAATTTAGAACTTCCCTAACAAAGGTGGGGCTTGAAATTGTCTTCAAGTGGGAAAATAACGACTATTAGTTGTCAAATCGACTTTAGGACTATAGAGCCCAAAAGTAATAGTCTTGATTTTCAGACAATTGTACCGAATGGTCATACGTTTTATGCTGCGCAAAGATTCAATCAGTTTAATCTTGGCCATCACAAGAAGTGGGTTATTGATGTAGACAAATGCTCATGTACCCTTTACAACTCTTATTATTACTAAAGAAGAAGAAAAGCTAGTCAGTCACTCAATAGTGTCTGACAGTGAAGTCTAGCAAGTAAACGGTTTTTCTTGCATAATTTGAATATAAGGACACTGCTAACGTTTAAATTTCACAGATAGGACATACATGACATATTCATAATTCCTGCAAAGTTCTACAGAATTTGAGGTTGGCTGCAAAAGGGACATAGTACCTTTAAAGTTTTATAGGTACGGATCTGCACGACTGCTGGGCAGGAAATGTCAAATCTATGAATGTACATGAACATGTACCCCTTCAAAGTATCTTGATTTCATGCGGTGATCTGAATGATAAGAGCTCAGAGCCTCCGACTATCACTTATTCACTACTACACATACTTCTCTGTACTTAAGTGAGTTACACAGGGTGTATGAAATGGGGGCTCTAAGGGTTCAAGCAACCAGGCCTCTCGCCAAGAAATTAAAAACGTGTGACGCGACCTGAGGGAAAATTTGACCCCCCCCCCCAAAAAAAAAAAAAAGAAAAGTTTTTTAAAGATTTTTTTAAAAACAAGTATTACAAGTAATTTGATGAATTTTTATCATGGTATTATATTCCGGGTCATTGTCATATTTACCCTTGCACTAAATAATCTAAATTATCAATGTTATTTTAGGCCATGTAAAATTGATTACATGTTGATCGTCCGGATTTTTTGAAAAAGAGGAGGAGGGTGTACCATGTTATTTGATATTTGATATTTCAAAATGGCCGCTCAAAATGGCCGCTCGGTACATTTTCCCTGACAGTCGAGGCTATTTTTTTTCAAGATGGCCGCCGACAATTTTTTTTTTTTTTAAATCAGAAATAGAGCCATTTTAGCAGTGTTTTTCATGTTTTTTTTCTTTCAAAAAAAAAAAAAATCAAAAAAAATTTCAAAAAAATAAAAAAAAATAAAATAAAAAAAAATAACAAATAACAAAAAATAGGAGGCGGCCCCCAAAAAGGAAGCGGGCGGGGACGATCAACATGAAATCAATTTTACATGGCCTTATCTGTCTATGTTGGAATTTGTGAAATTTGTTATCCAATGTTACAAAGAAAACAAAATGAGAATGATCCTACATGTAGTTGTTCAGATTTTTTTAAAGCTGTAATTATTTTCCTTATATTAAAAACAATATTGCGTTTTCTTATTTTCACAAAAATTGCAGTTGGTACTTAAATTTCTGCAAGTCTCACTATAAACATGACAGACAAAGAAAGCGGACAAAATATACAGTTCCTCCGGTAGACAAAGGAACATCCCTTCACTGCTATTATGTAAAAAGGTGAATATGCATGTGACACCTGTTCTACACATGTTTACGTAATAGTTGTGAAGGGATGTTCCTTTGTCTATCTGAGGAACTGTATAATTTGTCCGCTTTCTTTGTCAGTCATATTCATAGTGTCATTAACTTTATATTCGAGTAAAATAAATTCTCTGTTTCAAAATAAAATTTATACACCTGTCAATGAAAGTTTGATTCCAGGACAACACACATAGCTAAGTGCACACAATACCATACCTGCCAACCCTTACGAAAAATTCAGAATATTCTGCTTTTTTTGATTTCTAGGACCTGAAAATCCGGAATATGCCGATTTTTCAAAATTTCGTGGCGCTAGGTCGGGCCGATCAGGAACCTGTGCACGCGAGGGCCCCTCCCCCCTATGAAAATATACATTGGTTTATTTAAGAAAAGATAACCAAAAACTGTATGCCTTTGTGTGGAACAATTTAAAAAAAGGACCATGGGAAGAACCTGACCCCCTCCACCCTAAGGGGGGGGGGGGGGCGGTAAACAAATTTGTACATACATGTACCAAGTTACTAAAGATCCATTTTGTTTATTGTTTTGAAAAAGAAAAAATACCTACGGTACTCAAAATATATTATGGATTGCAAATTATTCTAGGTCCTCTAAAAAGAAAAGACCTACATGTAAGTCCTGAACCATACATTTTAGTCATTTTATGTGTTGGAACTAATGGGAGAGTTGTCCGTCATTAGTCATTACAGGTACATCACAGAGACATTACCGATTTAGCCAATTTGAAGAGCCCATACCTATAGTGATTACAGTTTTAATAAGTTTATAACTTTCTCATTTTTTGTTCAATTTCATTCAAACTTTCACTGATCTATACTTCTTTGATTTTTTTTCCCTTCCCTCTAGATCTAGAGTAGTTTTCTATCACGGTTTGATTTCCCTTTAAAACATTCATCTGGGGGGGGGGGGACGTCTCATAATCAATGACTAGGACCTTTTTTGTTGAAATTAACACTATTTGCATTGCCAACTGAAATCTAACTAATATCTGCCATCAGATCTTTTTATCAAAAATAATAGCCACATAATTACGATAATGAAACTATATCCTGCAGCGTTTCAGTGCAGGCCGGACCTTGTAGTAATTTCCTGTTTTTACACGTATTTGATGATTTGAACAAAGGCCATACACCTGGTCTCATGGCCTGGTAAAGTCTAAAGATGATGTTGTTGTTGACATTTTCAAAATTTAAAAAATCGACATGATCAAGAAATTAAGATAATATTCAAATTTAACATCAACATCTTGACTAAACATGCTTTAAAGGTAAAGACCAGTATTGGAAACGCCCTAATTTCAAAAAATGAAATGGAAGCTCTTATTACCAATCATGTGAAAGAATATGTTTTGACTAATACATGATGATAACAATTTTGCCGGGAAACCACCTACTAATAGATATATTTGGTAAATTTGTTTCTCTCATGGACTGTGAGAGATATAGGGTAGTCCCATATACCTGATATACACCTTTCTGTGTATAGTGCTTGTAACTTTACGAAGAATGGGCCAAATTTCTTATCATTTTGATGATTCCAGAACTTTGCAGATGCTAGATGCTAGATGATCAACCTTTTCTGATCGATTCCACAACGTTTCTTTCACAATGCAATCGCATGACCATTTAATACTGGTCTTTAGTTTACCTTTAAACAAAATTAGAGAACAAAGACTCCCATCTATCTACCTGATATCAGCTGATTACAGATTAAGATTCCCTATAACCATGATCACTATTATCACCATCACTAGTATCAGCAGATCAGTAATTATGATCATCCTCTAGACATCTAGATTTGGTAGACCTACATTTACATACTCTATCATTGTCCACAGATAGGCTCCCATTAAAAAATGAATAAACTATACCAGTACAACTACAATATTACACAAATTGCATTATACTTCTAAGACTAAGTTCTAAATGTGTACCTGTTGAGGCCTAATATATACTGATGCCTGCATCCTAATATATTGTGTTCCACCACCATTACCACCACCACCAACATAACAAACATGACCCGAACCATGACGTGAAAACCTACCAAGTATTTCCGCTGGTATTTCCGATGTCGAAGTCATCATGTAATGATTATCTCCAGCCCGTATTCCTGCTACTAGTTCCCCCGATGAAGCTCATACGTTTAATTTTCCTGCTAAGGTGTGCAGAAACAGCAAAATCTGGTCAGTTCTCTCACCAATATCGCGGCAAAATTGATGTCCTAATTCCAGTCAGCTAACGAATATGTGGAGTGTGGTAATGTGATGGTATTGCAAAATGGGGGAAGTTGTGCATCCACATCCACATGCGGAAGTGTTTTGAAAATACATAGAGATCTCGAGCGTAGGGTATTCCCTGCACTGTACGAACGAAATCGCATTTGTGTGTGAGCGAACCCTGATAAATAAATTATACACACACAGGAGATTGTAAGGTTGTTGCTGCCGTACAACGTTAAAATCGAATTTCTAGTTACAATCATGTCAGGTATTTACGTAGGATTAAGTTACTAGTAGAACGTCCTCGTTGTAAATTTAGAGCCCAAGGTCTGTGGGCGTGGTTTGGTTTGGTGTTCGAAAAGAACAAAATAGGGTCAAATAAAAGCCACTGAGGTCATAGGATATTGTGAACTACTTTTTGATATAACTGCCTATTATCTCTTCAGGAGGTAAATAATTATAGAATACACCACTACACGATAAAACTTGGTAATCACAAATTAGACCTATTCCCATTCATACATGACGTGCAAGTTTATAGAATTTTATTCATTTAAAATGTGTTTTTTTTCTTCTCTCTCTTACCGGGTCTCTTATCAAGTTTTGGTTGTAATATTTACTACATTTAGCAGTAGTAGTAATATAGAAGTAGTAGTAGTCAGGCACGTATGCAGGGGGTGTTGGGGGGGGGGGTAAATTACCCCCCCCCCCCTCAAAAAAATGAAAAAAAACCCGAATACTCCTAAATGAATGAATGAATAAATAAATAAACATATTTGTTAACCCTTAATGAGGATAATTCATATTCCTGTGGTTATCGTTTGTCAATAAAATTGTCGAAATTTTTTCTTTTTCTTCAGGTCATTGCCTCTCTATATTTATAATTGGCTTTCAAACTAAGTCATGCGAGAATCCTATTTTTTGAATGACGTCAAGTGGACTTCCAAAAAACTCTTTACCGTAACCCCCACCGGATCACGTCCTTTACCCCTACCGCCTTCTTCCAACCAACCCCCCCCAAAAAAAAAAAAAACATATCTCTCTCTCTTTCTCTCTCTCTTCGGCTCCCTCTCTCTCTCGTTCTCTCTTTCTTCCTGCCCTTCTCTCCCATACCTTTTCCATATACTTATTTTATCATGCATGTATCTCCCCTTCCCATCTCGCTTTCTCTCCGGTTCTAAACTTTCTCTCTCTCTCTCCAGTATGAATTTCACTCTCTCATATCATTTTCTCATTTTCCATCATCTTACTTTCACTATCTCTTGCTATCCCTAGCATTACGGTTTGTTACGTGCTCAGTAGTAATGTCGACGTGGGAGTAAGGTAAAGAAATATTATTTTGCTGTTCTTTTCTTGCTTGTAAAATTTGTTTAAAAAAAACTATTTAGGCATAAACAGGTCAAATCAATTTTGCTGTTGAAAACTTGTATTAGTTTAAAAAAGAAATGTTTGGGCAATTTTTTCATAACTGAATACCCATCACTTAAAATAATACAGAACAAAAGGTTGTTAAGTGTTTAAAACTGCAGTTCAAACGTCAATAGTATCGTTTCATGTGCACGCAGACTTTTTACCTTCATCAAGATCTAGAGCTATGTTGGCCTTGTTTATTCGTATTACCTAATACGACTGATGCCCCCCCCCCCTCACATCTCCCATTAAGCCAACAATCAAATGAGAGTATTCAAGAAGCAGAAAATCGAATGATATCAATTTGTTGACATAGATTATGCTCGGCTGTATGCCTATAGAGGGCGACACGCAAGGAAAAGAATCACCCGGATAACTCTGAAATTTCATCACAATAAAAACAGGGGTGAATCTCGAATCTCTGGATCAAAGGGCGTTGAAAAACACGCGTTTCCACCAATAAAAATCATTTATTAATCTGTTTATGGTTCTAATTGGATATTTTAATTGCAAAAAAATAGCATTCATTTACTCAGTTTTTGAAAGAACACGGAGAGAATTTGAATAGGCCTTTTTATACTGGGCATAATCCATTTTATCAGATTTGCCTACTGAGATGTTTGGTCCACTTATGTTATGAGATCGCCCAAAGCAGAAATATCAGCGTTATTATCTCGATAATTCTCGAAATTAATATTTACTAAGTTATAAATAGAATCCAATGACCGGGAAAATAATGCATTGTAGGGCGCTTTGATTTGTTACTTGTTATTGGAAACTAAGGCGCCATATACAAAACAAATCAATAGTAGCAGTAGTAATATGCCCACAATTACTAGTAGTTGTAGTCATGGGTGTCGATTTGTATCCGTGGTTGGGGGGGGGGGGATGATAGTTGCCAAAATATTTTCGGCAATGGATCAAAGCAACCAAGAGGTAGAAGCGTATGGCATGTTGCACCCCCTCCCTTCCAAGTTATTAACTTTTTCAACTCACCCTTGATAAAGATAACATTTCAGAGAATATAAGAGTGGTAATAAAATTAATAACATGCTTAATATTAGTCCTGACTCTTGCCTGCAGTGTAGGCCTACCAGACTGATATTATCTATTTTTAAACGAAATTTAGACATTACCAAAAAAAATCCAATGGTGAGGGATATCAACTTGTGAAAGTGTTATGTTACCAGTGGGCAAATGCATTAATACGCAACCAGGAAAGGTTCATGTAGACAGAAAATTCTTTATTTCCTGGTGATAGAAACATACATTATTTTTATGAATATTGATGTCTCCAAACAACATTCATCGTGAAAAACCCATTCCAATATTCTGTGTAAGGAGATCTAAAAAAAGACATAGTTCTCATTAGTAAATGAAAAACATATTGCTTTTGGTTCTTCATTTGACTCTCTTCCTTCTTTAATTGAACCAACTGAATCCTCTCTGCGGGAAACTCAATTCAATGAAACAGAAGATCACTGATGCAAAATTTGGTTCTCAAAATGACAGAAAATTTCCACTCCTGATCTCATACAAACTGTCTGTTTCTTAAAATCATAATATAAAACTTACGTTCCAACTACCAAACAACAAACTTCCATTATCTCCTTCTTCACCCAGATATACTTATCATACCAGATACGCTCTAAAATATAAGTATAATATTCCCCTAAGGCCCTGACCAGAGTACTATTTTTTCTTCAAAAACTATAACCAGTCTTAGAAAGTGCATTATTATTGGAAGGGTATTATAAACAAAACGTCAAACTTAATAACATTCTAACCTTTAAAACACCTTAAAAATAAACTCTAGTACTGGTAATGCGATTGCATTGTGAAAGAAAAGGTGTGGAAAGGATCAGAAACAGTTGATCATGTAGCATGTAAGTATTGCACTGCAAGGTTCTGGAGTCATCAAAATCATAATAAATTTGTCCGAGTCTTGGTAAAGTAACAAGCACTGTACACAGAAAGCTATATATGGGACAACACACATGGTGTCGGGGCTAGTACTATCTTGGGGCGCTCTCCAGAAAGACAGAAACAGAAAGTTATAGAATGATACAAACTAAGAATAACATAAGAGAAGGTGATAGAAGGAAGAGACAAAGAACAACATAAGGAAAGACAGCTTGTGTTAGAATGATAAAAACAAAGAATAACATAAGAGAAGGTGATATCGGGCCGGCCTCAATTAAACCACATCCAGAGGTGGACTGGATCGATGGAGGCGGCCTCAGTCCTGCTTTTCAAAAAAAAGTTGATGTTACACATTACGTCGAGCCGCCTCCGGGGCCGGCCTCAGTCCACTTTCAGACGCATGTGTAAAGCTACACAAATCAGAGCAGCGACCGACCGATTAGTAGCCTGCTCGGTCGCCGCTGGAATTGAGGCATCGCCAAACGATTTTTTTTTTTTTTTTAGAGAAGTCGAGCAGGCTGTAGATCCCCAGCGATGCCTGCATGGGCGGTGGCCTGTCGATTTTGGGTCAAAAGTGGGCGAAATCGGAGAGCTTCTCCGGCCTCCCGGCAGTGACCGACCGATGACCCACCGATACCCGCGGTCTCCCACCGGCCAATGGCTAAAAACAAGCGGTGCCTGGGCGAAATTGGCTACTTTTAGGTGATTTGACCTTAGCTTAACAGGGGACAAAAGATGTACTTTGCACTGCATGACTTATTTGGTATTGGCCGTATATGGCAAGCCCTTTGTGTAAAAACTAGATATACTCCGTTTATTATCAGTTGATAAACTTAGTTTATCTGAGAAAAACTGAGTTTATCAGTTGATAATCAGTTGATAAACTGAGTTTATCGGAATTAGAAAAGCACAGTTATTCAAGCCTTGTCAGTAGTGGGCGCTAGACCTTTGACTGACGTGCAATGCACATAGCATGCACAACATATCTCGCTAGAGCCTACTCACTGTGTGACCTGCGGTGGCACATAATTATGGTACCTACTCACTTATGTGTACTGTATGCTGCTGGTGGCGCGCACATGTACCGGCCGTATATACGCGCGTGAACTTATCATCTAAATCGAGTTATAGTGTGCCCGTGATCTAGCTATATGCATGGACGTTATTATTCCAACTATGGTTCAACTTCTTAGTGGTTCATTCCCTTCATAGGAAGGGTAGATTTAGAATACATGTATGTTGTCCTTCACATTATCTGCCTGGTATGCAATTTTATTTTAAACCTTTTTTTTTTTAGCCTGGAACACCAATTCAATCAGTTCTTGACTTTAAAAATTATTATTCATATAGCTCCGTTTAGTCTCATTTCACAATGCCCCTACCGTCAGAGTCAGCAGCCATAAATGTTAGCCTTTGGAATTGATTTTAAAAATTATTATTCATATAGCTCCGTTTAGTCTCATTTCACAACGCCCCTATCGTCAGAGTCAGCAGCCATAAATGTTAGCCTTTGGAATTGTACAAACAAAATCGTTAAAAATTCATTTTTTGTTTAAACCCAGATAACAATACGGCGTTGGGCCAACGTCGGCCACGGTCGGCAGGGTCGCAGTCGGCAAGCCAACGTTGGCTAATCGTTGGGCCATCGTCGCCATTTTTTACTGATAAATGGTGGCTATTGGTTGGCTCATTCGACGTTGGGCCAATGTTGGCTGAACGTTGGTCCATTGTCGCCATTTTCACTGATAAATGGTGGCCATTGGTTGGCTATTCGACGTTGGGCCAATGTTGGCTGAACGTTGGTCCATTGTCGCCATTCTCACTGATAAATGGTGGCTATTGGTTGGCTATTCGACGTTGGTCCAATGTTGGCTGAACGTTGGTCCATTGTCGCCGTTTTCACTGATAAATGGTGGCTATTGGTTGGCGCTTCGACGTTGGGCCAATGTTGGCTGAACGTTGGTCCATTGTCGCCATTTTCACTAATAAATGGTGGCTTTGGGTTGGCTATTCGACGTTGGGCCAATGTTGGCTAAATGTTGGTCCATCGTCTCAATTATCACTGATAAATATTGGCTATTGATTGGCTATCCGACGTTGGGCTAACGTTGGCTCATTGTCGCCATTTTCACTGATAAATGTTGGCTTTTGGTTGGCTATTCGACGTTGGGCCAATGTTGGCTGAACGTTGGTCCATTGTCGCCATTTTCACTGATAAATGGTGGCTTTGGGTTGGCTATTCGACGTTTGGCCAATGTTGGCTAAATGTTGGTCCATCGTCTCAATTATCACTGATAAATGTTGGCTATTGGTTGGCTATTCGACGTTGGGCCAAAGTTGGTTGAACGTTGGTCTATTGTCTCATTTATTACTGATAAATGTTGGCTTTTGGTTGGCTATTCGACGTTGGGCTAACGTTGGCTCATTGTCGCCATTTTCACTGATAAATGGTGGCTATTAGTTGGCTATTCGACGTTGGGCCAATGTTGGCTGAACATTGGTCCATTGTCACTATTTTTACTGATAAATGGAGGCTTTTGGTTGGCTTTTCGACGTTGGGCTATTGTTGGTTCAATGTTGGTCCATTGTCGCCATTTTCACTGATAAATGGTGGCTTTGGGTTGGCTTAATATTCGACGTTTGGCCAATGTTGGCTGAACGTTGGTCTATTGTCGCCATTTTCACTGATAAATGGTGGCTTTTGGTTGGCTTTTCGACGTTGGACTATTGTTGGTCCAATGTTGGTCCATTGTCGCCATTTTCACTGATAAATGGTGGCTTTGGGTTGGCTATTCGACGTTTGGCCAATGTTGGCTAAATGTTGGTCCATCGTCTCAATTATCACTGATAAATGTTGGCTATTGGTTGGCTATTCGACGTTGGGCCAATGTTGGTTGAACGTTGGTCTATTGTCTCATTTATTACTGATAAATGTTGGCTTTTGGTTGGCTATTCGACGTTGGGCTAACGTTGGCTCATTGTCGCCATTTTCACTGATAAATGGTGGCTATTAGTTGGCTATTCGACGTTGGGCCAATGTTGGCTGAACATTGGTCCATTGTCACTATTTTTACTGATAAATGGTGGCTATTGGTTGGCTATTCGACGTTGGGCTAAAGTTGGCTCAACGTTGGTCCATTGTTGCCATTTTCACTGATAAATGGTGGCTATTGGTTGGCTATTCGACGTTGGGCCAATGTTGGCTGAACGTTGGTCCATTGTCTCAAATATTACTGATAACTGTTGGCGTTTGGTTGGCTATTCGACGTTAGGCCAATGTGGGCTGAAAGTTGGACCATCGTCTCAATTTTAACTTATAAATGTTGGCTATTGGTTGGCTATTCGGCGTTGGGCCAATGTTGGCTTCATGTTGGTCCATCGTCTCAATTTTTTTTTTAATGGTGGCTTTGGGTTGGCTATTCGACGTTGGGCTAACGTCGGCTGAACGTTGGTCCATCGTCTCAATTTTAAATTTTAAATGTCGGCTTTTGGCTGGCCATTCGATGTTGGGCCAATGTTGGCTGAACGTTGGTCCATCGTCTCAATTATTACTGATAAATTGTGGCTGTTAATTGGCTATTCGACGTTTGGCTATTAACGTTGGCTCAATGTTGGTCCATCGTTTCAAATGTTACTGAGAAATGGTGGATATGTTGGCTAATATACGCGACGTTGCATGGGCCAACCTTGGCTTAACGTTGGTCTATATCGTCTCCATCTTTACTGATAACATGTATATATTGGTTGGCTATATGACGTTGGGCCAACGTAGCAAATACGACCTAGTACCGCTACATCCGGGTAAAAAAAATTGCATGCGTGCGCATGCCCATGTGCTCATGCAATTGCAACGTACGTCAGCCATATCCTGTCCATTTGTCTGGATCAGTTGCCGGGGAGTACCAACACTGCATGGTAAATGAATGATTTTCTTTCTCTTTCAACGTTATTTTTGTGAGCATGTCGCGTGAAACTGATAAATTGTATAGTGTGAGAACTCCCTGTCACAAAGGGAGGGAAATAGCATGAGAAATTGTTAAAGTAATCATTGATAATTCCCTGTCCAAATGAAAGTGAAAGTGCATGAGTACGAGTGTACCGCTCGGCGTACGCTAGCATGCACACCCGCTGCGTGCAATTGAAGTGTGAGTGATGGCTATGATGGCTATGATGGGGGCCGAAGTGTCGGCATCAGATGCATTGAGTGTTTGCAGTGATAAATGTTAATATGTTCCTGACTTAGAGTTATAGGTCATGTATTGATGCATCATGTTGCAGCGTCCGTGACAGTGATGATGTTCATCCCAATATGCAATATCGACCATGAATCAAATGATTGTGAATCTGTTGGTGTTACAAGTGTTGAAGGTGCTGATGCATTGTTGGAAAGACCAATTGAATCAAATAGAGCTGAATGGGAAGACGCATCATTTTTTTATGCATATCTAAATGATATTATAGTCTCTGATACTTTCAGATTTAGAAGTAGGTCTATACTATACTCTGTAGTAGCTCAATATATGCTGATGATGATTCAGTTCGAAAAGGAATAAATTACGAGATTGGGCTGTGAATTAAGATATCCCGCTAGTACATGTTTCTAGCCGCCTGAAATCTTACAAGGGAGTGTGCCAAGTCTGCCAAAATATGCAAGAACTTTGTATCAACACATTTAGTGGATTGTGAGTGTGATGTGAAAGAGGTAGCTGGTGGGAATTACCGTCATTTTGGCATTTGCAATCATTTAAAGTCGCAATTGGCCAAGAACCTCAATTTGATCAAATAGTAAATAGGAAAAAATATTGGGGGCGGGGGTAACACTGATCGATCCCATAATTTCCATTCACAATTTTCATTCACAAATTTGATTATTGCTGCATTTTTATTCTCATTTTCAAATTAGTTTTTATTGTTTATGCACATGTATATTAAATTGCTATAATTTTAACTGAAGGTAAATATTCTAATTATTTATTTTTAAAATTCTGACGTTCTTTATTAATACATTCAATTCTATATAGCTCTTCCAAATCCCAATACTTTTTTCTCCCATAATCCCTACAACTCTGAAATTTAAATATGAAATCCTGCATTTCATATCGTCAACTTTACAACAAATTCCAGATTCCTCTACCCGTTCAGATCCAGCTACCCCTACCTCGATCATCCAGAACAGCATCAACAGCACCAAGGACCCCTTCGACATCGACCCCATCAACCTCCAGAACACTGTCGACCCCAACGACCCCATTGACCTCAACATTCGGAAATATGGGTATGTCATTTGGCATTTTATTCATTTTGTATTTAGTTATACATGTAGACAGGACAGCACTTCTTAGTATTCGTTATAGTTGTGCCCTGCACACAAAGTACAAATGTACTGGATTAATGTACGTTTGTGTAGGACATAGCTGCTAACGGATGCTAGTATCTTTTTCCTGATTATATTGAGAAACTGCATTGTGATCACTTACAAAACTATTCAACAACAACAAATCTTGAAATACTGCTTATAGCAGTATTTTTTGGGAAACAATTCTGAATGCAGGGTGCCACAAAAAACAAAACACAGTCAATTGATTTGTTTCTTGTATAAGCTACTAACGATATAGCTTTGTGTTTTTGTTTCTACTTTGAAGCCCCTCGAGCTCTCTCAAGTATTGGGAGCTTACATAAATACAAAAAAAAGTATTGGGAGCTTCACATTTCACTTCAATGTTATAATGATGTGAAAGAAAATGCCACTCTTCTTCAAAAATTTGTCCTAAAAATTAGAAAGAATACAAACTTACTAACTAAGGGTTTTGTGTTGTATGCAGAAAATGCAAATTTTGTATTCTTTCATCCATATTCTAATTCAAACACATTTGTTAGGGCAATATTCTATTTGCAGAAGTGTCCGGGTGTTAATGACATCCTCTTTTACATCATACCATTTAAGTGAGATTGTGCCATCTATTCTTTGGCTAATTTTGGGATCCAACACTTAAGAGGGGCTTTAAACTGTTATCAATCAAGCATCTTTGAACGAAGTTATTTTCATGACAAAGTACTTCTATCCATGAAATTTCATCAAAACTAGGGAGGATGTGCCACTCAGGAATACTTCCCTTGCGTACTATTTGATTAATATCTGTACTATTTCAAGGTGATGTTTCCATGATCTGCTTTTAAATCTTGTTTGGTTTCTTTCTTCTTCTTTTTTTTGCCGCAGATGTCGAAGTTGTACCACCACAAGCTAGACAAGATTTTGATTCCGACTAACCCGTTCTTTAAAGGTCCATTGCCTTAGGAAATTAAAACTTTTATGTCTTGTATCAAGACCCTTTTAAAGCAACATAATAACAATTGTTTCATAAATAAATGCCTCCTTATATTTTTTACAATTTTTTGAAAACCTCTCCAAGTTGCTCGTCTAATGGTGGACCCCGCCCCTTACAATTCTCAGAGTTCCTCGGAATGATTGACCAAAGGATTAGTGATGTTATATCAAGAACGATCTCCGCTTAGGCAAGCTACGGTGCTTGCTAGCCAGCTCTGCAGGCATTATGTTTTGTACACAAACATAAACAATAACTTTTGTTATTAAATAGTGTGCTATGCATCTTTACTTGTTATTTATTGTGGTGAAATTTCACTAATGGCCCAATTTTAAAAAGAGAACTATACCATGAGTCGAAGAAGGTCGTAATTGATTTGAATGCCTGTATAACGTGTCAACTAAATGCATGCTATAAAGAATTTCAAAGGTAAGAAAAAAATGTTTCATATATCTAAGTGACTGAATGTTTTTCGTACTACCTTCTTCTCAATTTAAAGAAATATTGAAAGTGGTATATCAGAGTGAAGAAACTTGTGTTTTTCCCTTTACAAGCTCTGCTCTTTCTTACTTCACTTTCAAATTTCCTCTCTTGTTATATAAACATTTAGCGATTGCTTTACTTCACACATTCAAGCAATGTATACTATCCCTCCTTAAAAAAAACAGTTTGTAGATGTGTTAACAATAGATATGGCGACGAAATGTATCAGCATCTCTGAAATGCCTAAGCATAAAAAATGTTGGCAATTTCTCTGAATTTTATTTTTTATTTTTTATGGGACATTGTTTACATTAATTGCCTAGTTCTTGGTATGCAAATGGTGGACACTTTATTAATTTCTTTATATTTTTGTGCTGTACATATGTAAAGGAATCTTGTCATAAGCAATCGTGTTCGTCTGCCAGAAAGTTTGTTTTGTTTTACTCGGGAAGTTGTGAGGATTGTTTATTATATTCGTACAATGAATTTCAGTATGTTATGTTGTGTTACGTGTAAGCGACAATTCATTTTATAACAGCTCCTATCGTCCTAGCATTCATTGATAGTAGGCCTATATTGTGACACATTGAGATACCTTGAACTTGAAACTATGTTTACATCTTTTTCGAATTCAAACGAAAATACAAAAGAAAGATGTACAATAATTGTATTCACATTTACAACAGTTTGTTTATTACACATAAAATAAAGTATGTTTTATCACAAAATCAGTTTATTTTCCTTGTTCTTTTGTTTTGGAGGTTGGGGGATGTATTCAGAGCAAATTCTAAGAAGCAAGATGGTGAACTTTTCATTAAAATGGGACAAATAAGTTGTTATCAAGTTTTGATAGTGATTAAAATGTACAAGATAATAGACATGACGAAATTAAAATAACATGTCCCTCTTGCTTCAATATTGTTATTATACATATCTTCCAGAGGGATCTAAGTCGAGTTCTATAATGAACTTTTCTCAAATTCAGTCTAATTTTGATGAAATTGTTACTATCTTCATTTTGTGGATTTTGCTCTGTTTATTTATTTAATCCAATCTTAAACTACTAGTCTTGGCTTTTCCTTGTCACGTTGTGATGCATGTGTTTGAATGATTGTACATGTCCGATGTAGTATGATCTTGACGATGTTCTTTTGAACGGACGACTGATGTTGGTGTGAATATGTTTTTGAGTTGGTGTTGGTAATGTCAGAAGAATGTTGGCGTGAACTGGAAAGGGGAGGTACAACGTCGGCACATGGTGGGATACGGGTTGGCATAACGTTGCTTCTACGTCGGCAAATGGTGGAGAAGAGGTTGGCATAACGTTGGTCTAGCATTGGCACATCGTGGAGGAGGGGTCGGCACTTGGTGGGAAAAGGGTTGGCATTATGTTAGGACAACGTCGGGGAGACGTCGGCACATAGTGTAAAAGGGGTTGGCATTACGTTGGTCCTACGTCAGGGAGACGTCGGCACATGGTGGAAAAGGGGTTGGCATTACGTTTGTCCTATGTCGGCATATGGTGGGATAGGGGTTGACATGACGTTGGTCATACGTCGGGGGGACGTTGGCCCGATGTTGGCTTAATGTCACTTCGTCGCTGTCGAGCCAACGTTGGCCCGCCGGCAAGAAAGCCGTTGGCCCAACATCACATTGACGACGATGGCGCAACGTAACAGCCCACGACGTCGGCACATGGTGGGATAGGGGTTGGCATAACGTTGGTCCAATGTCGGAACTACGTCGGCACATGGTTGAAAAGGGGTTGGTATAACGTTGGGCCAATGTCGAGGAGACGTCGGCACATAGTGGGATAAGGGTTGGCATAACGTTTATCCAATGTCGGAACAACGTCGGCACATGGTGGGATAGGGGTTGGCATAACGTTGGTCGTACGTCGGCACATGGTTAAAAAAGTGTTAGGACGACGTTGGTCCAATGTCGGAAAGACGTCGGCATACGGTGGAAAAGAGGTTGGCATAACGTTGGTTCAATGTCGGGAGGACATCGGCACATATGGTCGGATAGGGGTCGGCGTAACGTTGGCCCGATGTTGGCTTAATGTCATTATGTCACTGTCGGGCCAACGTTGGCCCACCGGCAAGAAAGCCGTGGGCCCAACATCATGTTGGCGACGTTGGACCAACGTAACAGCTTACGTTGGCCCCACGTTGGCGTAACGTCGTATTGTTATCTGGGAAAGCACATCCACCCCGACTTACGTTATCACTAGCTCTTTCATTGGAACCCCCATGTCCCATTGACTTTTGAAAGTTCACCCACCGTAATTTGATCAAAATAGGTTGCAAGCTCGTCATTGCTAATATAGTACACATGTAACAAGTCGAACTTTGGACTCAGTTTGCCAAGCGATTTTAAGATTATAGGTCAAGCACACGAAGGATAAGATAAGCATGAATTATCATAGATCGCTTCTGCTTGGTTCATTATGTTCATTTCATCCAACCCCCCACCGTAATTTTTCCATTTAGTAAAAGCAAACATTTTGCCGAGTTTAGCAAAAACATATTCTTGAACGGTTGATCAGACAATACAGCCTTTTAGTACGCAACGTACAGTGAATGGGAAGGGCCGATGATCCGTCCAGGAGGTAGAGGTCAGTGGTTTGTGCTGGCAATGTTCACGCGAGCGAAAATGAGACAATCGGAGCAATATGTATTGCTATCATTATCATCAATTTTGTATGTCATTGTCTTTCAATGTTTTGATGCTATATCCCTGGAAATGAGATAAATAAATTGTACCAAAAATACATCATCATCAATGTATTGCATTTTTGTCCCCAGCCCAGGTATAGACTGCATGCGCTTGAGACCATGCAGACTGGGCCGGGGGGGGGGGGGGGGTCGTCCAAAACTTCTATGGCATGTATCATGCAAGCAAAATAAAAGAAACTAATGTAATAGTAATAATAATAATTGTGAAAAAAAGGTCATCAGGTTTTTGTTTTTGTCTCTTTAGCTACGTAATACGGTTTGGCCGTGCTGTTTGGGTTTAAGAGCCTACACATTTTTCCAGAAAGTTAATACGAGGCACGAGTTTTCCTCTCTCTATTCCAGTTGCATCGTTTAAATTTCATTATTATACAGCACCTCGAGTCTTGTTGGACATTCTATTGAGTATGTAAGCCTAGACCCAGGCGCGGATCCAGGGGGGGGGGGGGGGCAAAATTGAAAATCAAAATTAGTGCTCACTAGTTTTTACAAAAAGGGCTTGCCATAGCCGTATAGGCCTTTAGGCCTAGTATTGTATAAACAAAAAACAAGGAGCTCGTGCAGTGTAGGCCTGGATCAGTGGTTTTGAATTTGGTAGTGGATAACATTGACTTGTGCACTTCAAGAACATGGCTCAAACACAGCTTAAAGATTCTGTCGACCCTTGGAAGTACGTCATCATCTTTAGTAAATTCTTGCTTGTTTTCGTAGAATGTGGGATCACGAAATCTTTTGGAGTTCTCATTCCTGACATGGTTACCAGGTACGAAAGCGACTACAAAACAGTTGGATTCGTCTGCGGTCTACCCACCACACTAATGTACTTTTCGGGTAAGTAGTACTTTTTCTATTTTGTTAAGTGCAGTAAATGAGCCCATTTCCACTGTATAGCGGTAGCTCCTAAAATGTTTAAGTCAGTTCCTTGAAGGGTACAAGGTTTTAACAGACTCACAAATTTTCCTAATTTGATCTCTCTTGTTTCTTGGAGGAAAAAGAATCCTAAATTATTCTTACTTCAGCGTTTAATTTAGTTTCACTATAATTCTTCTTTATTCGTTTCTCCATTCTATTCCTAATTTCTCGTCGGTTCTCTGAGACCGTTGTCAAAAGTTTTATTTTTACTCTCCGTTCCTTTATTACGTACAACTTCAAATTGTGACAAATCTTTAGCTTTGCGATCCATATGGAAACGTTTGCTTGTATTTGTATCATAAAAGAAGTTGATCACAAACTGACTCCCACACGGTGTTGAGTGCTCAGGGGTCACAGGTCACGGGCTTCATCGGGCAGGTAGTTCCATTATGTGAATGGGTAAATTAACTATTACAAAATGAGGGGACACATTACATTGTACAATAGGGACACACATTGTTTTTATTGTGCAGAACATACTCTTTTATTGACTTACTTATTGCATGAAACTATAAAACCAAAATGCATTTTGTATTCTAACAATTGGAGTACAAAGAATAATAACAGGTGAATGAAATGCATAAACACCACAAACACCTGGGGAGGAAGCATTCGTACATTTTAATACATATAGTTAATAAACGACTCCGATGAAACTATAAAACCAAAATGAAATTTGCGTTCTGGCAATTGGAGTACAAAGAATGATAGAAGGTGAATGAAATGCTTCAACAGCAACACAAACACCTGGGAAGCTAGGAAGCCTCCATACATTTGAATAATTTAGTTGATAAACGACTCCGCATGTGGACGTTTGTTGGAGCAGAAAGCAGTGGATTCTTAACAACACGAACCCATTTAAAGGTAAAGACCAGTATTGGAAACACCCCAATTTCAAAAAATGAAATGGAAGTTAGCTCTCATTACCAATCATGTGAAAGAATATGTTTTGACTAATACATGATGATAAAAAATTTGCCGGGAAACCGCCTACTAATTCATATATTTGGTAAATTTGTTTCTCTCATGGTCTGTGAGAGATATAGGGTAGTCCCATATACATCTTTCTGTGTATAGTGCTTGTAACTTTACGAAGAATGGGCCAAATTTCTTATCATTTTGATGATTCCAGAATCTTGCAGATGCTAGATGCTAGATGATCAACCTTTTCTGATCGATTCCACAACGTTTCTTTCACAATGCAATCGCATGACCATAACTGGTCTTTACCTTTAACAGAATGTCGAAACGTAAATTAAATTTGGCGCGGTTGGAAAATGCATCTTTCTACCCTGCGACTTGAATGATATGATCTAGTAAAATAAAACAGTAAAATGGCTCTTATTTTAAAATTACTCATTAAATAACACCCAAAACGTCAGTGATATCAGAAAAAATATGTTAAATTTTACTAATAGTTAAAAAAAGATGTATAAACATTGTGAAAGTGTCGCATTTTACGATAAAAGACGCCGATTTAGCGAAGATGACGTCATTAGTGCGCTTGCATCAAGGAAATTCAAGGTCAAAAGGTCAATTCAGACACTGATAAGTTATTGGTCGAGCCTTTTTGTTTCCTTTATTCCGACAAAATTACACAATCAATCAAAACAAGTTTAATACCAAAAGAAAGCTAACGATTAGTATTTTCATTAACCGCTTGCCCCAAAGTCGCTTGACCACATTGAAAGGAGTGAGAGCTTGCGAGAGCGGCCAAAGTGTGATTGAAACTCGCTATTTGCTCTTCTCCAACGCAAAAAGGGACGACATTGTGCTGGATAAATGTATTTTTTCCGACAAAAGTACAGAAAATTTGCATATGGTCTTTTTATATTTTACTTTATGAAATGTTACCCGAGTGAATTCCGGGCGCCCCAACGCTGGGAAGTAACGCACATTTTAGAAAACTTCACTTTATCATGGAAAAATGCTTATTTGTTCCATGCACGCAAGTCAGATTGAGCGGATGATACAACGTTTCCATATGCTTGCCTATAGTAGACAAAAGATTTCTTCTTCCATTGTTCGTGTGATTACTGATTATATTGATAAAAATGATAGCACAAAGATTAATACCTGTTCTTTTCAGTTTACGATTGAAAAAGTAATATAATTTTTGTTTAATAGCTATTACTTAATTTTGTATGACACTTAGACCTTTTTCACAGAAAACTATGCATTAATGTGCTGAATTCGCAATATAATATTTATATAACATATTCAGTATCATTATTTCCCCACATATTTGGCAATAATTATTTCTATTCTTCACTACTGAGTCTACCCTTTTCATGTTGGTTGTCGTTTCGCTAGACTAGTGTTTGGCAGCATATGAAAATAACCTATAATTAATTCCAGTTTAGACTTTAAAATTCAATGCTACTGTCCGCCTGTACATAAAATGAATGCATTTTAACTACATTGTATATTGTCAATATTTTCTTCACTCTACTGTTATTAATTTTTTTTTCTTTTTTCTTAATAGCACCCGTTGGTGGTCTATTGATGAAAGTAGTAAATCCACGGATTATGGCGATTAGTGGTGGAATTTTGAGCGCCGTGTCCATTATCTGTTCTCCCCTTGCTGGTTCCATCTACATACTTGGGATAATGCTTGCTCTAACAGGTAAACATAACTAGTCCCTTGTCATTAACATTTCTTCAAACACTTTGAAAATGAAAGATAAATTATTTACCATTTTACTCATGTTTCTGTATATTTTGAGGATATTTTTGTTTCATATTCAACTTTTCACACACTCCATACCTTGCAAGCAAAATAAAATAATTCAATATAATAAATAAATGAAGAAAAAATTGATAATGATAATATCGATATATAGACCGCAGCTACCTGTATAAAAACACTCTATCGTTAAAGAAAACATAAAGATAAAAAATAAATAAATAAAAACAGATGAATAGATAAATGAATAGATAAATTAAATAATAAATAAAAAACAAATAAATCATTCGACCACTTTCAGATCTTAGTCGAATATAAATTTTATCTGACCCATGCAGCGACAACAAATAAAAGGATATTATGCAAATATTCATTGTTATGACAAAAATTGTTATCATTTAATGCAGACCGAAAGCTTCAGTCTCTGATATTGACTGTTGTTCCGCTGAGATTACATGTGGCTCCTCTGACCGCCTCTATGTTGACAAATGTCAGTTTTATTTAAAGAATGAAGTTTACCAGACGGTTATTCTGTCTACATGTATCTGTGATTATCATTACCATAATTATTATCTTTCACAGGATTTGGCATGTCTCTCACCTATTTCCCAATTATCGTGTCCCTTAACATCTACTGTGCGAAGTCGTTTATATTTGCAAACACTCTGACCATCTTCGGTTCGACATGCGGTGCATTCCTGGTCCCTATCATCGTAGAGCGGTCTCTGGAAGCCTATGGATACACCGGTGCCTTTCTCATATTGGGCGGCATCTGTCTTCATACTCTAGTTTGCGGGGCCGTCGTCAGACCGCCCAAAGACATGAAGAAAGGCGAGGGGAGCACCTCTACATCAACAGCTCAACATGAGTTGATGATTCAAAGAGCTGATTCAACCTCGCGGGAGACATGGTCTGATGAGACTTCAAACTTCCTGCCAAGGATGAATGACGACACGCCAAGAACGCAGAAAAAAGGAGTCCCAAGCTGCAATAGCAACGACACGGTGAACTCTCCTAATGGCACCCGTACTTTATGTGAATCACTGACATCAAGAATGAAATTGTTTTTCTTATTTAAAGAACCTCTTTACACCTTAGTCATGCCTGCCATTGTGTTTTTTGGCTACGTGAATGGTGCTTGGATGTTGTTTCTTGTACCTCACGCCGAGGGAGCAGGAATTCAGCTGTCCCGTGCCGTATTCCTCTCCAGTATTGCTGGCATCAGTGGCATCTTCGGACGGATCCTGTATCTGGTTCTCCTACATTTTAAGGTTGACAGTACTCTTATCTTCTGCGTATCCAGCGTCATCTGTGCTACCTCGTTCTTCATTGACTCTGTCAGTTCGTCCTACACTTTCTTAGCCGTAATGGCGTCCATTCAAGGCTTCACAATGTTCCATTTAGACTGCATTCCACATGCCATGATGAAGCTGTCAGTTCGGAGTGAGGAGAACCTACCACAGGCCATCGCTGTAAATCCGTTCCTGTTTGGATTGGGTATCATTGTAGGAGATTTCATATCAGGTATAAGATCCAGTAGAAAAGGGTAGAACTCACTGTTCAGTGTGTAGGACTATTAGTACAATAAACTAACTTATTCCAGTCACACCAACGAGACCGACACCAGACCGGAAATACACCGAACAAAATTTATGTCACCTCGAATGGCCATGAATCGGTGAATTAAGTCGGTCTGGAGCTAGTCCGTTTAGTGGTGTGGTTTGGAGGGATCGGTCTGGAGCTAGTCCGTTTATTCGTATGGTTTGGAGGGATCGGTCTGGAGTCTGTTTAGTGGTATGGTTTGGATGGATGGGTCTGGAGCTAGTCCGTTTAGTGGTATGGTTTGGATGGATCGGTCTGGAGCTAGTCCGTTTAGTGGTATGGTTTGGAGGGATCGGTCTGGAGCTAGTCCGTTTAGTGGTATGGTTTGGAGGGATCGGTCTGGAGCTAGTCCGTTTAGTGGTATGGTTTGGAGGGATCGGTCTGGAGCTAGTCCGTTTAGTGGTATGGTTTGGAGGGATCGGTCTGGAGCTAGTCCGTTTAGTGGTATGGTTTGGAGGGATAAACGATTTGATTTGAACTGCATGTTTATCATCACCATGTTCATCATCGTCATCACCTTTTCATCATCATCAGCAGCAAACATTTAGTACAGTCGTGTTAATACACAGCATGCAGGATAGACCAAAATCTTTGGAAAGAGGTGCTTTTAATACTGTCTTGTCATACCAACGTTAAGGCGTCTTTGAAGTTAGACCATTGAAAACAATTCCTAAAAACAAAACTGTATTATGATAATGGTTGCTCCGTATCAGATTTTATGGTTGATATATGAAAAAACATCAAATTCAATTACATTCTGCCAATTTAACCTAAATTCTTTGCAATTTTTGTCTTTTTCAGGTCACCTCTATGACATCACGTTGTCGTTTTCATTCCTCTTTATGACATTTGGTGTGGTTCTCGTCATCATTACGATCAACCTCGTCATCTATAAATTGATAGACCGACGCCGTCTTCGGGATGGTTGAGAACAACCATATTATAGACTATACAGTATAGACTTGCAAATATGAACGCGGTTTAAAAAGTGTCATGAAAGGGCATGTAATACTTGAATTATGTGAGATATGCTTGGCAAGAACAAAGGTAGATATTTTTTACACCTCGACTGTCGAGAGGATATGCCTTTTATGCCTGAAATTAGTGAATTAAGAAGCTTGCTTGCTATATCTATGTAACTATAGCAAGCCCTTCGGCTTCTAATATGCCTTTTGGATTTGGCCACAAGATGGTACGAAATACTAATTTCGATAACATATATCTTTCATTTTTCATCAGACATTTGAAAAGATAAAGGAGAATTGTTTGTAGAAAGTGAATTTTTGTTTTAAAAGCGAATATACATATTTCTATAAGACTACATGAAAAGTGAACCAGTTCTGTAAAACTGAGGAATATATTTTTCAGATTTATGTTATTTATTTGTAATGAGTGAGTGTGCATGTGTATTTGTCCATAGACGAATGTATACTTTATTACAAGTGCAGTGGTTTGGCCCAAAGATGTATCGTGAGGTGAAAGAAATTTATCAGAGGATAAGGATACTTTTTTTTAAAGTGAAATGAATGTTGTCATAAAATGGAATATTAAAGAGGTTAACGTATATTTGTCAAAAGAAATATTATCATTTGCCTTTATTTGATGCGTCAGGCATAATACAAGTTAAAGGTGTGACATATTAAAATAAATTCAATTAGATTCACTTTTTTATCATCTATAAATCTTAAATGTAAAAATTGCTTGGTGTACATGCAAAGATTAAACGTAGACAATAATATTTTGTCATACCGGGCCAGCACGGATTTGTAGTTTTGGGTGATCGTATTACGTACGTGCACTGCCATCCAACATTTTAGGTACACCTGTAATCAAATTAGTTTGTGTGAAGTGTCATATCACTGGACGCAAAATGACACTCGATTACTTTTTCCCTTTCCAACTCATCAAATTTGTACAAATATCAATACTTTTCGTGGCATGTTCAAAATATATGAATGCACATACCAAGCTATGCCTAAGATAAGAAAATATCAAAAGTTTTAATTATTTTGTGGTGGACTCGGTGTTGTCTATGTTATGTGAAATTGTGTATGCTGAGCTGAAGAAGGGTGAATTACTTGTTCTTGTAGGGGGTGTTATCCGTGCTTAATAATGTGTGATTTCATATTCTGCAAAGTAGGCATATATCTTTATAGGAAGTGTCTTTGGATCCATCGGTGGCTGGTATTAGCTTATCATATCTGAATAGGCCTACAAGGAAGAGGTTAACAAAGTATGGGGGCATACTGCAACCAAAAGGTTTCACGAAACGAAGAATCTAGTTCAAACGCAGGCTAAACAAGTAGTCTTTAGAGAGGCAGAACGAATTAGCAAGCCTTCACAAAGAAACAAAAGAGCAAAACCTCAAAACAATGAAAAAGTCCCGTCAGGGCAGGCTGAACAAGCAGTCTCCAGCGAGACACAACGAAATAGCAAGCCATGCGCAAAGAAATGAAAGAGTTAAAACATGAACCTAATATTAGGTTCATGGTTAATTCAATGAGAGAGACCAGAATCCCGAATCGGATTGAGGTCATCGAGAGAAGACAGAAGAGAAAGATCCTCAAATAACTGTTAACAGTGTAGATTTGTTAGCGTTCATTGTATTTGTGATTAATAATATGGAAAAGGAAACATCAAATTCGAACAGGATTCGATTAGTTGTAGAAGCAGCACATTGCTGCCTGGGTGTATACATACATCCAGAAATGATTCATGAAAGGTTAAAATAATTACGGAGTATAGGCGTGGGCGTGGGCCTCCAACATCATATGGCCAACGCCTTAGCCCTCTCTGGCACCTTTCTTTTCTTTCTTTCCCTTCTTTCCTTTCTTCTCTCTTCCTTTCTTTCTGTCTATCTCTCATCTATCTTTCTTTCATGCCTGATGACTATTGTACAAACCAATTATATTACAATTATTCAATTGTCACTTTCATGTGCATTATAATTTGCATTATGCTCCATCATGGGTATAGTGTTTCAGTGGAATGCTCAATCTATGAACGCTCATGGCTTTGAATTTTACACCAAAATAATTAAAAGTGCTATAAGTGAAGAAGAAAAGCTAAGTATTATTTGCCTACAGGAAACGTCGTACGATGATTACAATATCATCAGTTTTCCAGATTATACGTTGATAACAAAGAATAGAAAAAACTGAAGAGGAGGCTTAGCATTTTATATACAAAGTCACTTACTTTCCAAGTGATAAAAACACCAGATGATCAGGAATATCAAATTATAGATATATTTATGCATAATCACATCTTTTCACTTGTCAACTTTTATAACCCTTGCAAAAAAATTGCGGCACCAGCGCTCGACGAAATGATATTATATTGTAAGAATCAAGTGATAATAATTATGTGGGGATTTTAATTCTCACAATCCAATATGGGGTAGTAAGGACATAGACGCGAACGGGAGGACAGTGGAAGAATTATGCATAAACATGATCTGGTGCTTTTAAACGAAGGTACCTCGACAAGGATAGACCCCCACACAGGTCGTTTCTCTTGCCTAGATTTAACATTTATGACCAAGGAATTAGCAAAACTTAGCAGATGGTCTGTACAGAAACAAAATTTTGGAAGTGACCACTTTTTAATCAGCTTTGATCTTCCTTTTGTTTCAAAGAACCTCCCAAAAGAAGGAAAATTTGAAAAGAACGAAGATACAAGGTTATTTGCAAGAAGTTCTTTAAATAAATAAAAGAAACTGTACAAAATGGAGATAAAGAACCAAATGAAGGACTGCAAAAAAGAATACCAGGAAGCAGACCTGCAAGGTAAGCTTGATATTCTTAACGGCATTATTCTCATCTCCACTGACAAATTAACCAAAAATGTAAGTACCGAGCACAATAAAGCGAGGCAACCGGTACATTGGTGGACGAAGGAATGTACAGAATCGGTCAAAATTAGAAACTCTGCAAAAAAATCGTTTCATGTATAAAACTCACCTATATGAGGACTTTCAGATATTATATGGAGAAAAAAAGAATTACTCATTCAGTTATCCGAAAAGCAAAAAGGGAATATTGGAGAGGTTATTGTCGGAAGTTTAATCGGACAGCTGACATTGGTGCCGTGTGGAAGAAGATCAAAGACATACAAAAAAAGTATGAACCAATCAATACCGAATTTGATTATGGAAGCTGGAAAGGTAATTGGTAAAACAGCTACTGAAAAAGTAAATATGTTTTTGAACGTTTTTAACTCTCTAGATTTAGCTGTAGGGAAAGAAAAAATAGTCTAGAGAAAAAAAGTGAAACAAAACTTTTAGAAAGTATTAATAACATGCAAAACCACGATGAAAATGTATTAAAATGAAGATTTCCGCCTTAGTGAGCTTAATAGTGCTCTACTAGAATTAAAAAAACACTGCTCCAGGGAAGGATGTCATTCATTCCAAGCTGATAAGCAACCTTCCGGAAGAAACTATCAAGATGATATTAGAACATTATAATGGAATATGGAATAGAGGTATATTGCCTAGACAATGGACTGAGGCTATTCAAATTCCGATATTAAAAAAAGGAAAAGATGCTTCAAACCCGTCGTCTTACCGCCCAATCTCTCTAACCCCAACACTGTGTAAACTAATGGAGAGACTTGTGAAAAACAGACTCTCATGGTATATTGAGAGACAGGATAGAGAATTATTACTCCCATACAATCGGGTTTTATGAAGAACAGAAGTACAACTGACCATTTAATTCAGTTAGAAACAGATATTCAAAAAGGAATGACAAATAAAGAACATACAGTTGTGATTTTTCTTGACCTATAGAGAAGGCGTACGACAGAGTATGGAGACAAGGCATAGTTTACGAATTATATAATCAAGGTTTCACAGGTTAGATTTTAAAATGGATTTATGCATTCATGTCTAACAGAGTGAATCGTGTTAGAGTGGGAAACTATTATGTTTGTATAACTTGTATTTTTTTATATTTTTTTTTACACTTGTGTTATCTTTTATATACATATATGTTTTTTATTGAATTGAATGAATAAATCTTGAATCTTGAATCATATCAGAACAAAAAAAAATGTAATATATTAGGCATTTCCCAAGGGAGCGTGATAAGTCCCTAAATTTTTAATTTCATGATCAATGATCTTAGACGAATTCAGGATACTGTAGTAATATCATTGTATGCTGATGACATTTGTATTTGGTTTTCGCACAGAAATGTAAAAAAAAAAGTTACAGGCGGCTCTAGGCTTAATTGAAAAATGATGTAATAGATGGGGTATGCATCTCTCATCCTCAAAACCGAGAGCCGTAGTATTCGGCAGAAAGGAAAAGAAAAATATTGATTTACAGATATATAGTCAAAGTATTCAATTAGAAAAAGAATGCAAATTCCTTGGAGTATGGTTCGACTCGAGATTGACGTGGAGTAAACATATAAATGAAATTTCAATAAGATGCAAAAAAAGACTTAATCTTATGAGGTGTATTGCTGGTACCAAATGGGGCAATAACTCGGAAATACTTCACTATGTTTATAAAGGCTTAATCCACTCTGTGTTAGATCATGGAAGTGAAGCCTATGATGGCGCGAGTAATTCTCTTAAAAAGAAATTAGACACCATACAATTCCAGGCTCTTAAAATTATTACTGGAGGAGCTCATCTAACTTCATTACAGGCTTTACAAGTTGAATGCGGGGAAATGCCACTGCAACTCAGGAGGAATATGTTTATTGATAAATATCATTATTATTTACATGCAGCTTAAATTAACCGTCCTACCAAAAAAGGTCTTATTACCGTGTTGGCAATATGAAAGTTACTCTTGGAAAATGGGCCAAGGTCCTTTCGTCAAAAGATTGAGGAACTTGGAAATAGGAAATATTTAAAAACTCACTGTATGCATGACGGTTAAACCTTATTGGCACTATAAGATGCCAAGTATATCTACAGAAATAAAGGATTTTGTTTCTAAGAAGTTTTCTTCATCAATAGAATCAACAAATTATGCTGTAGAGGTCATTAAGAAAAAATGGAATTACTGTTTAAGAATCTATACAGACGCTTCAAAACAACAGGAAGGGTATACGGGAGCAGCTTACTATATCCCAAAACTAAGCCTAAGTAAATGCTTTAAAACATCCAATATATCCATCATGAGAGCAGAACTGGTATATTATTAATGGCACTTGAATGGATAGATGAATATCATCCAATTGCAGTAGTGATTTTAACAGATTCAGCATCAGCTTTAGAAGCCATAAAGAATATGAAAGAATCCAGCATAATATTGTTGAGATTTATGAAAAATTATTTTCTATAAACTCCTTCGGGACAAATGTTTACCTTGAATGGGTACCAGCCCACTGCGGCCTACCAGGAAATGAAAGAGCTGATTTGTTGGCAAAACAAGCTTAAAAAAAAAAAAAACACCGATATAATGGTAAACCAAAACAAAAGTGAGTTCGTAAGTGAATCTGATGTTTTTTATAAAACCATGTGGCAAAGCCTCTGGGATAAGGCAGAGAATGGAAGACACTTGTATAGTATCAATAAAAATGTAAATAATGTTTTTAAAATCAAAGGTTTGATCCGAAAGGACGAAAGATTAATCCACCAATTTAGGCTTGGTAAATGTAACCTGAATTACTGTAAATATTTAATTAGAAAACACGACACTGGATTATGTGTAGAATGCCAAACGATAGAAACAATTGAGCACTTTTTATTATCATGTCCAAATTATGAAAGACAACGAAGGAGAATGTAAAGAGCACTAAAAACCCAAAATCCAAATCTAGGTCACTTACTAGGAAATGAGGAATATATAGGAAAGGTGGTAGCTTTTTTAAAAGGCAGTGGAAGGTACAATGAACTGTGATGCTCACCTATAAACATTAATTACGTATCAATTAAGTATTAATCGAGTATTAGTTACGTTTTGCTATATTATCTATTAGTGACAGTGGTAATATCCTCGGTATATATGCTTCATTGTATAAATTGTATAAATTGCTTCATTATACGGAGAGAGGTTTTAAACTAACGTCCTAACGTAATGAACTGATCGCAACTAATATTCAACACTTCATCCTTTCTTTCCTAATGAATTCTTTAAAATAACAAGCAGAATAACAATACAGAAAATAACTACTAACAATTTACTGACATTGTTAATTGCACAACGCCACTAGGCTATCGTCGATCCAACAGTAAAAGTATTAAAGGCCCACTGCACTACTGGTAGCTACTTGCGCCCTCTATATAACTAACAATGCCTAATCGGTGACCATTGGTCCCCCATGATCCTCTTTTTCTTATGTTAACTGAGAGCTGAGTTGATGAGATAACCACCTGTCCAGTGACCTTGCAGAGCGGTCTAATCCCTCCTGTAAACTACGGCAGATAAGCTTTAAGAGAGGACCAGTAACTACGCCCTCTCACATTGCCTGGCGGAAATCATCGAATGACGATGGAAACGCCATCAATCGCAACAACAACAACAACAACAATAACAATTAGAGAGAGGCAGAGAGAGAGAGAGAGAGAGAGAATGGGGGAGGGTGACTGTGGGAGAGAAGGGGTGGGAGAGGGAGAGACAGAGAGCGTGAGAGTGAGAAAGGGGGACAGATTGACATGAGAGAGAGAAAGGGCGTGATAGGGAGAGAGAGAGAGAGTGACAGAGAGAGAGAATATGGGTAGGGTGACTATGAGTGAGAAAGGGGTGGGAGAGGGAGAGACAGAGAGCGTGAGAGTGAGAAAGCGGGACAGATTGACATGAGAGAGAGAAAGGGCGTGATAGGGAGAGAGAGAGAGTGACAGAGAGAGAGAATATGGGTAGGGTGACTATGAGTGAGAAAGGGGTGGGAGAGAGAGAGACAGAGAGCGTGAGAGTGAGAAAGCGGGACAGATTGACATGAGAAAGAGAAAGGGCGTGATAGGGTGAAAAAGAGAGAGAGTGACAGAGAGAGAGGAACAAAAACACATAACTGGTATATACATCATGCAAAAGAACAATTTCATTCAAAAGTCTTTTCATTCAAGTTTGTGGAAATGTATTTCAAAGTAATTTATTCATTTTTTTAATTGAGGGAACTTCCGCAGTACTATAGCAGACACCACCTCCAATTCACTAGTTTTTATGTTCTAAAACAATATTAATGTTTCCAGGCGCGTACGCAGGGGGGGGGGGGGTTTGGGGGTTAAACCCCCCCCCCCCCCTTTGGAAATTTTTTGTGTGTAAACCCCCCTTAAAAAAACCTAAAACCCCCCCCCCCCCTTTTGGATTCCCCCCCCCCCCCCCCCCGCTTATTCAGCGGCTGGCTGAGTCGTTGCGAAATTTTCGGACCGATTTATAAATGTTAAAACCCCCCCTTGAAAAAATCCTGCGTACGCGCCTGAATGTTTCCAATTATTTCGAATATGTATACATATAAAATGAAAGAAATGTGTAGTACGGGATAATAAAATACATATAAATCTAGCTATGTGATAATCAAATACATGATCGAAAGGCAACAATAAATTGTCAGATAAACAAAGAACATTTATTCAACTGTGGAGATTTAATTTGTAACAGTAATTAACAATAATTCCAACTAATCAGTTTAAATAAATCGAAGTGTCCCTCTTACCTGGTATCCCTCTCAATATTAAACTAAATTGAATGCACGTAGCAGGAAATTGATCACCAAAAAACGAAATTGAATGCCCCAAACAAGCTCATTGTGAGTGCCGCCTTAATCAATTTAAATGCTTGAACTGGGAAATTGTACCCACATTTGTGAATTTGATTTCACCGAAGATGAAAAAGAAGGGCCGATAAATGAAATTGATTGCTCGGATTTTGAATTTGAAAGCCCGAATTTACCTGCGAGCGACCTCTATGTGAATTTGAATGCACGTTCATGAATTTGAATGAAAAAAGTGTGAAATTGGCCGCAAAAACCTATATTAACTAGCAAGCTTTTCTAATATGCCTTTTGTATATTGCCACAATATACAGTGCGTCCCAGAAAAAACGAAACCGAGAATTATCGATGTCTTAATCACAATTAATCAATAAATGACACATATTTCTTTCATTTGACGCAACGCCTATGATGCACATTTCACGCATGAGTGATTAAAAGCAATTTGAAGAAAGGGTACCAAAAAGTCATTTGGCGAACGGTATCTGAATTTTAAAGAGAAAAATCGCATTTCAAGAAAGTTTATTTTCCGCCCTTTCATAATATTATGACACCTCAATCAGGATAAATGAGCAAAGAATAAACAAAGTTCTGTTTGTTTAAAGTAATGTTTGCATTTCCATACTTTTATTAAACGAATCCGTTTCATTGGCTGTCTGCCCTAACAACAATGAAGACGAAAGACTTTATACATGGCTGATCGCCAAGTTGGAGTTTGTTGTGTGTTGCTACGGCAAGCAGCCAGTGAATACGAATTCGTTTAGTTTAGAATGACCGGGGTAATTTGTAAAGCGCTTAGAGACATTTGTATTAAGCGTTATATAAAAGCTACATATTATTATTATTATTATTATTATTATTATTATTCATTTTGTGTGTTTGAACTAATTTGTTACAGTGGCATTGCCAATTCAGCCAATTTGAAGTGCCCATACGTAAAATGATACACAAAAAAAACACCAGTAACTTTCTCGTGTTTTCTCGATTTCGTGCGAATTTCACCAGTCTAGCAGTCTAGGCCTACTCTGATTTTCCTGCTTTCATTTAGAGTAATTTACTATTTGGGATAGATTTCCCTTTAATTAAGTATATTATTAGTTTATTCATCGAGCATTTTTGTGATTTCTGTCCGTATTAAAATTTTGTAAATAATTGATTGTATATCAATTTTGGGGTTAATTTTTTCCTTTAGCCATTTCGACGACACCGTAATTAGTTTGACTCGCGCTCGAAGTTGGTCGGCAGATTCGACAAGAGCGAAGACGTCATACTAAGTCATTGAAGCTGAATTAGGGTAATCTAAAAAGTCTTTAAAAAACTGCCGAGATTTCCAAATATCCTGTTCATGACCCATGCAGAGGTAGAAGCTATATTTGAACCACATAATGGTACGTATTCAGTTCTTCACGTTCGGTTAATTTCAATAAAACACAGTGCCATTGTGCTCTTGTATGACTGTTCAGTCCCATACGCTTAAAATTATGATGTCATGATTCGTATGAAATGTTGTGATGCATGTCCAAACTTCGCGGACATTAAAAAAAATATTAGCAATGTGTTAATCGATCCATGATTTATCATATTCTACACAAATATGTTAAGATCCTTTAGTACCTAATGCATATCCACATTTTATACTGCAAATGGGTGCAACTAGCAGAAAATTTATTGTCAAAAGTATGTGAGCTGTTTTAATATTGGTATACACACATGCTGTTATTGTGTTGATATTTGTACCTAGAAAATTGTATCCAACGAGGATTGAACTGCTACGTCCCCGGACCATTCCCGGTGGACGTGCTCACCTATTTACATCTTGTACGTTTTGCAAGATATATTTTGACTCTCTCGATGTTCAACATTGACGACACTTTAATTCACCAGCAGTGAGAATAGAACATTTAATATGATCTAACGTTTTTCTCACCTGCATTATTGTTTGACAACCTTTTATCATCGACTTCATATATATTGTCTCGACATTTGATTCTTCGACCTGCATCGCAAGTCACTGAAGTTGATCTATTGACATTGACTGCATCATCATTGTAGATCTATTCATCTGTTAACTGATTCATCATCGTTGTCCCGATATCATGCGACGATGCGACGACGACGGCGTGTAGTCTGCTCCCTCTTATCTCAAGTTTAACAAGTTATTTTGGACGTTTGGAGGAAATACTTTTACGTTACCTGCATACTGATTCTTCAGGGAAGAATGTAATATCTACATCGGATCCTTATGGGAGTAATCTGCCATGTTATCAATGTTCCTATAAGTCTGGTTTTGGTGAGACATCTATAGCTCCATGCTCTAAGTGTGCTGTACGTTCTACACGTAGTATGTTCTATCCTGTGCATGCTAGGAATGTTCAAGTGTGCTGTGCATAGTGTGTATGGAATGTTCTGACCTTTACACATAGTGTGATTTATTACCGCCCTGCTCCGAACTGACCATTAATTTCTTCCGACCTCAAAATGCCAACCACCAAGTCTCAGTCAGCAGACATTGCTCGGCAGGTTATCGCTGAGTTGGAAAGCAGCAGTCTTTTAAAGAAGTTGGTGAAAGATGCAGTCCAGGAGGCTGTATCTGGCATCGCTGCTCGGTTAGAGGAGCAAGAAGGGTGGGTAATGGATTTGGAGGGGAAGGTGAAAGCGCAGGAAGATGAAATCAAGCGCCTTAAGAAGGAAGGAGAAAGCTGTACAGTTTTTTGTTCGGCTTTAGAAATAAAGCTGGATGCGTTAGAGCAGCAGGGAAGGTGTAACAACATCCGAATCCTCGGAGTAAAGGAGTCTGCAGAGGAGATTCCGGAGGTGGTCGTGATGGAGGTTGGAGAGAAGCTTGGAGTCAAACTAACCCCAGCTGACTTCGATCGCTGTCATCGCCTCGGCACGTCTTCACCTGATGCCAATCAGAGGAAAAAACATCGCCCTCTTCTGGTAAAGTTTTCAAGCCGGCGCATCAGGGGTCTGGTAATGGGAGCCAGATCCAAGCTGAAAGGCACTGACATCTTCCTGAACGATGACCTCACACCCGCCAGACAGAAGCTTTTGTACAATGTCCGCCACTGCCCGAAAGTAGAGCGATCCTTTAGCCAAGAAGGAAGGATCTTTGCGGGCATTAAGAACACAAGCGGCGGCTTTACCAAAAAACTTATAACTTGTGATGCAGACATTGCTAAGCTCTGAAACTAACAGAACAGTACACCAGCATCTCATTATCATACTTTCAGTATTTTTTCCTTGCAGTTTTTCTATGGCAGCCTTTACATGCCCATTTTATTGCCTTATGTTATTTTTATACATTTTCTCGTTTTCATGTATTTTCTTATTTAACTTCTTTTTCTGGTCTCTTTTTTTTCTTCTCACTCTCTTGCAATTATTATGGATGCTTCCTATATTGTTGCTTTAAATGTGTTTTTGTTACCTTTTAATCTTTGTAGTATATTAATCTCCCATATATGTGTTAATATGTTTTCTGACAATCTTCTTGACTTGTATTCCCAACACTTAGACTTCATATTTTATTTTGTGATTCCAATCCAAGATGGTTAATATAGAAGAAGTTGCTTGTAATATTTTAGAAAATAATGCAAGCACGCTAGAGCCCAATGTTAATGATAATTTTGATCATGCCTCTCCAATTGTTTGTCATTACTGTTCAGAAAATCAATTTATGGATGGGTTTCGTAATAAATGTGAAAATGATGTTACTGTCCTACATTTAAATGTTAGAAGTATGCATAAAAATGTTGATGCTTTTAATACTCTTATCAGAAACCTCAATGATAGCTCTACAATAATTGGGGTCTCGGAGACTTGGTTTTCGAGTGAGAGTGATGTTAATTTATATTCTATTTCTGGATATAGTTTGGTGTCTAATCACAGACGTGATAAAAGAGGCGGTGGTGTTGCTTTATACATTCCAGTTGGTATGGATTTCCAAGTAAGGCATGACTTAAATGTGATGACTGATCAGTTGGAGTCTATTTTTGTAGAGTGTTTTATTCCAGGCAAAAAGAATGTTATCTTTGGAGTTATATACAGACCTCCCCAGAGTAATATAGATCTTACTGTGAATGAATTGCAGAGTATATTGTTGAACCCACTATTTGTCAATAAGTCAATATTCTTAATGGGAGATTATAATATAAACCTTCTTCGATGTGATGAAAATGACCATTATAATGCTTTTTTGAATATGATGTTGTCCTTTTCTTTAATGCCATTAATTACAAAACCCACAAGGGTAACTGATAGTTCATCTACCCTTATTGATAACATATTTTGTAATTTGCAACCTTTTCCACCTTCAGGTATTATAATATCAGATCTTTCAGATCATTTCCCTATCTTCACTAGAGTGAATTTTCGTAATACTGCTCATAAACATGAATGTAAATATATTCGTAAAAACAATCCTACTAACATTGAGAAGTTTCGAGAAGCACTAACGGCAACTGACTGGAGTGCAGTTTTACTTGAAAAGGATGTTAATATTTCATTCAACAATTTCTTTAATAAGTTTTTGCTACTCTATGATAAAATTGTTCCGATTTCCAAATGTAATACTAGAAATCGTAAGAAAATTCCACGCATGCCATGGGTCAGTGCTTCCTTGTTGAAGTCTATCAATAAGAAGAATAAGTTGTATTATTCTTATAAAGTTAGTGGAAGAGAATCATCACGTAAACGATATGTTGATTATAAAAACACCCTTACTTCAGTCTTGCGTGCAGCAAAGAAAACATATTATTTTGCTCAGTTTCAAGCAACTTCAAACGATATCAAAGGAACTTGGAAAGTGATAAGAAATGTGTTCAAGTCAAAGAAAAAAAATTCTGATGTAAAGAATATTGAAATTGATGGTCGTTTAGTGGAAGATAAGAATATTATTGTGGAAAAATTCAATGATTATTTTTGCAGTATTGGTCCTAATCTGTCACGGGCGGTCCCTTCCTGTCAAAAATCTTTTAACGATTTCCTGAAAGAATCTAACAAGAAAAGCTTATTCCTTTTCCCATTAGTTAGGGAAGAGTTGCTTACTATTGTGAATTCGCTTAAGGCTGGGAAAAGTCCTGGTTACGATGGTGTCAATAATGACATAATTAAACATGTTATCTTAGCGATTATTCAACCCCTTATTCATGTTTTTAATTCATCAATGTTAAATGGAATAGTCCCCGAAAACATGAAAATTGCAAAAGTCGTACCCGTTTTTAAAAAGGGTGATCCTCAATCTTTTTCAAATTACCGTCCTATTTCACTTCTAACCTCCTTCTCAAAGATCCTTGAGAAAGTGATTTATGTTAGAACTTTAGAATTTTTCAACAAAAGTAAAATATTCTCAAATTTTCAGTTTGGGTTCCGAGAGAAACATACTACCTCTCATGCCTTGCTGCACTTTATAGATAAGATTTCACAAGCAATAGACAAAAAGATGCACACAATCGGTATATTCCTTGATTATTCCAAGGCATTTGATACTATAGATCATGAAATTTTGCTAGGGAAATTATCGCATTATGGTGTCAGGGGCACAGCTCTGGACTGGTTTAAGAGCTACTTAGCTGACAGGAAACAATTTGTTTCTTTAAACGGTTTTGATTCAGGGTTACAGAATGTCACATGCGGCGTTCCTCAGGGATCTCTCCTTGGTCCGCTCTTGTTTATTGTATATATTAATGACTTTCATTTCTCATCTGATATTTTGTCATTCATTTTATTTGCTGATGATTCCAGCTTGTACTATTCACACAAAAATTCACAAACTCTGTTAGAAACGGTTAATTTCGAACTAAGTAAAGTTACTTTGTGGATTCAAGCAAATAAATTGTCTTTAAATCTGCAAAAGACAAATTATATGTTTTTTAGTAATACAATCAAAGTGCTTCCAGGAGATGTATCATTTAATAATGTATTGATAGATAGGGTATCATCAACAAAATTCCTTGGTTTGCACATTGATGAGCAAATGAGTTGGAAAATTCATGTAAATCATCTCTATAAGACATTGTCAAGAAACAGTGGCGTAATTCATAAATTGAAATCAATTTTACCTAAAGGCATCCTTTTATTAATGTACTCAACATTAATCCTCCCCTATCTTAATTATGGTGTTCTTGCTTGGGGTAACTCTCTTAAAACTAACCTTGAAAAGTTATATTTGATTCAAAAGAGGGTCTTAAGAATTATTTGTAACGTTAGCTTTCGTACGCACACTAGAATTTTAAAGGTGCAAGATATTTATCACCTTCAACTGGGTTCTTTAATGTACAACTTCGATTCTGGTGTCCTTCCACAGGCTCTAGTCAGCATTTTTAAGAAAAATAGTCAAGTTCATGACCATGCTACACGAAATGCCTCTGCGTTTCACTTACCCCAAGTAAGGACAAAGTTAACTTTTAATACTTTGGTTTTTACTGGACCTAAATTTTGGAACTCTCTAGGCTCTAGCATTAAGCAATCTGTTAGTCTCTCTTCATTTAAGTGTAAACTTAAGGTTTATCTTCTCGATAAATACTGTGACTCATAGAGTAGTTCATTTTTGTAGTTATTATGGTGCCAAGATATATTATGTATTACTATAAATGTAAATTTTCTTCTTGATATTAATATGTGTCTAACTGAATATTTTCAGATTGTCAACCTCTTATTCCCTCCCCCTGTTGTCTTGTGCCCGTTGTGTGCTGTGCCTATTGTCGATGTGCTGTATTCTTCTATTATTTCTCATATTTTCTCTTTTCTCCCGTCTTGTCTAGTCTAGTCTCTCTTTTTGTTGTTGTTGTTGTGTGTGTGTACACTTCTTGTTTTGTTATACCCCCTTTTCCCTATTGTATTCTTAGGTAGTCACAAATATCTATTCATCATGTTTTATCCGGCTCAGAGGGGACCCTAATAATTACAAGCTCTGCTTTTACCAGGGTCTCCTCGTCTTTCTTTTAGTTAGCTATGTTTTTTATCATTATCATAATTTGTTATTTTGCTTTGTAAATGTGTTATGATCCAATGTTATGCTCTGTATGTCATTTGAAAGAAAGACGAATAAATCTTATCTTATCTTATCTTATCTATTGCTGCGATATTGCGATCTGAAAATGTGATGTTTATTGTTGGATTGAAATGCACTAAAACTAATTGAAAAGTCATAATAACACTATGTCCTTGATTGGCGCATGACAGCTGATTCTTCATAGGTAGGCAAAATACACAATCAGTTGGTATGATTTTTTACTTGCCGGTACATTTTTGATGACATATCTTTTTTTAAATGTTTATTTGTTTAATCAGAGTTGTCTCAAATATTAAAGTGTGACCGCTAGTGCTAGTGCTGTGACCAAGAAATGCATGCAATGATCCCAACATGGCACATCGGCAGAATTGAAAAAAAGCTTTCATATACCATTTTCTGGTATTTTTATTAACATCATTGATTTTAATTGACTCTATTTTACTGATATTTATGTGTCATCACTTGTTAATAAAAACCACTCTTTAGAACTTTATTAGGGAAGCAGTCTTGTATGTATGATGGTCCTAGAGTTAGGAATTCTCTAAGTGAAGGTATTAAAAATAATCATCCCTAAGTAAATTCTGTAAGAAAAATCTAAAAATGTTTTTACTCAAATCTTATAGTAATATACAAGAATATTCTGATAACAGTTGGTAATCATCTTAATTTTTCATTTAGGTCTCCATCATCTGCTTGATTTATTTAATATTTATTTGGTCTTATGATCCTACCTTCCCAGAATCATCATTATAACTACCTCTTCTTCGGTCATGATTTGTCCTGCTTCTTCCTTCTTCCCCCTTTTCCGTTCTCCTTCTTTTTATCTGTTTTACTTCTCCTTGTCGTTTCGTGGTTGTTTTGTAATATTGTCTTGTGTTTTCTAAGTCTTCGTAGGAAAAATCGAAACAATTGTATTTTTTTCTTAGGGATCCACAAACTACAAGCACTGCTTTTTAGTGGACCCCCCCCCCCTATTCCCTCAGAAATTAAGAATTTCTTGTAATAATTTTATTATGTGCAAAGTGTGTTTGTATAATTACTAACAAAAATTAATTTTGTATGAAAAAAATGTAATATCTTTGTTTACCTTTCTGTTGGAAATGAAATAAATATGAATTGAATTGAAATTGAATTGAGTGAATTGTGTACAGTGGTGTGTGAAAGTGTTGAGCATCAATAGATAGAGGATGTATTTTTCTTTTTCTATTTTCTAGACATACAGGTATAGTCATGTCTCTTTGTATTAGTGGTAGGGTGACCACAGTTCTTGCAAAATTTTAAGTTTTCAGAAATGGCATAATTGATCCATGAAAACTCTTACTGGGGTTGATGATTAAAGTGGCACATCAAGTTACAAGTATATGTATATGTTTTGTTTGATTTCAGGCCAGCAATAAGAGTCCACTGACTGATATCTCTAAAGAAGCCTGGATGAACAGATTACAAGGGCTACATATCACAAGAGGAGACATGAACAAACTTGTCATGAATTATTTAGTCACAGGTAACAAATCAATCATGAATTTCTAGTCAAAGTATCTATTAGTCATCAAATCTTTTTAGTAACAAGTATCAAAGTGTTCATGAATCAAAATCAAAGTAAGTCCTAAGATATTGATTCACAGGTAACAAGTTTGTCCTGCCTGAGTCATTGAATTATTGATAACAAGTCATTAATGAAGTGGGTAAAAATTTGTCAAGTTAGTCAAGTTAAAACATCTGCCATGCAAAGTATGCATGACAATATCTGGGCAATATTAGTAGTGATAATAATAATATGCTGTCATTGTATTGCACATATCATATTAGATCAGACAAGAGGGCGGGGGAAGCAGGAGGGGGGGGGGGGGTCACTGGACCATGGTCTATAATAAGATATGTGCAATACAATGACAGCATATTATTATCACTACTACTGGGGGAGGAAGAGGGGGAGGTTCTACACGAGACCATGGACTATTATAATCTAGCTAGTGCTCAGTGCATTCAAGGAATAAATCGTACCATGTGCCCACTACTTACTACATGGATTGTGTCCAGCAAGTGCTCTTGGTAAAGGACATTAGTGGCAGGGGTTTCACAACCCACAGACTTACATTGTTCACTAGACCACAGCACCTGTAACTATGTTTGGTATTTCACCGTGTTCATTGCGCACTGTATCCTATTTTGTTTAAATAACAGAAGGGTTCAAGGAGGCTGCAGAACGGTTCCAATGTGAGTCCAGTACTAAACCCATGACAGATCTAGACACTCTGAATGAGAGAATACTAATCAGAGAGGCAATCCAAGATGGCCACATTGAAGATGCTATAGCAAAGGTCAATGAACTTCATCCAGAACTACTTGATAATGATAGATATCTCTACTTTCATTTACAGGTAAGAAGTCATGGTTATAAATCATGGTTATTGTATTCCTTCAGGGCCTTGTGACATGAAAAGTTAGGATTAATTGTATCTCTCCGAAATTAATACAGGCGTACCCATTACAAGCTATACCGGGATTCGCGCCTTCTTGTAATACAAGTTCTTAAATTATATTTGTGTTCCTAAGTATAAATTGTACTGTTTGAACAGATGTCAAATATATTGTCAAATTGACTGGAAGAAAATAACTGTTCATTAGAATTGAATTGAATTTACTACATTCAATCAATCATATTTTACAATTCAAAATTAACTTGGGATTTATTTTATGCTACAGATGGATATAATGCATGGTAAGATACAATCAATTGCAGCAATTTTGGGAGATTTTTTACGATTGATTGCAAGTCAACTTTTATGTTACAGGGCCCTGGGGAGTGTTTCACAAAGATCCTAAGTAGAACTTAACACTAAGTTGGACTTAAAAAGTATGGACAGCCATTGGAGCCTTAAAATAAAATATATTCAAAAGCAAAAATTGGAGTATTTTAGACTTTTCATCAATTCCATATCAAGAACATGAAATCTCCCATGATAATAGAAAATATGAATGATTTGAATCAACATTTTATGCCTTCTAAAAAAAAAAATATATATATTTTCAAGGATGCTAATGGCTTCCCATAAATTTTAAGTCCATCTTTATAGAGATAAGTTCAACTTAGGATCTTTGTGAAACACCCCCTGGTCTTGTTAGTAATACTAATAGATTTGTGGAGAAATTGTTTGTATGGGGTTGGACAACACAATTTGATACTGTTAAATCTTTCAGATTAGAGTCCTGAGGACTCGCAACAACTCATGATTTCAACTTTGATCATTAATGTGACTATCTACTGTATCTCACAGTCGTAATTACACATTTTATACCAAAACAGTCATGTTTTCAATCCAAATATTTCATTTATACCGAAAGTGTTTACCAGCTTAAAATGGTGAGGTTTTACGTATGCACACTTATTGTGATTTCATCCTGGCTGTATCATAATTAAAGCCCTGTATGGACTGCAGATGGATCTACAGATAATCATATGGAAATAATAAGTGCCGGAATCCTGTTTGCGAAATCAGTAAAAGACAGGGTTTGAGAATCATGGTAAAATGAGCCTATGTAGGAAAGTATACATGAAATGTAGTTATTGATTATCAAATCTGATTGTTTTTACCAGCAACAACATCTGATAGAGCTTATACGTAACAAGGACTTAGAGGGCGCTCTAACATATGCACAGACGCATCTATCCGAGAGAGGAGAAGAGAGTATGGACGTGTTACCAGAGCTAGAGAGAACGTTAGCATTGCTTGCATTTGAAGACCCAACATGCTCACCATTCTCTGATCTTCTTCATCCTTCACAAAGACAAAAGGTACAAGTGACGGCAGTGTGAACGCTGTTTGAAGATCTGTAGGAAGATTACCCGTTTTATATTCAGGCACACTAAACACTGGGTTTATACCCTACTCTTTACGAGAAGTGCATAGGGTGTGAATCTCTTACACAGGGGTCCCCAGTTAACGTTTTAGTCCGAAGGGTTTCCCCCAGAACCCAAGTCTGCATCGGAAACAGAGGTTAGGGGCGGGTTAAACACTCTTTCTTTAGGGTGACCCGTATGTTTGTACCTTTTGGAATTGTTTGTTTCCTTTTTTACCCTCCTTTCTTCTGTCTTTCCCATGGCTAAAGCAGGTTTCACCATATCAGAATACACCACAAGCTAAGTTTTTAATTATGCTTTTTCTTTCTTTTAATATTACAGTACATCTTGATACCTTAACGTTCCTTTTTAATAAACCTCACAATTTATGAACTCTTTTGGGGGGATTTCATTAAAAAAAGTATGATTTGCTTTGACTTCCAAAGTATTGAGTACTGTGTGACATATTTAGCAGTTTTAACGGTACTGTTACTTTAGGGGTACCTGTATGTTTGTAATTGGAATTGTTTGTTTCCTGTTGTTTATCACCCTCCTCTGTCTTATCTTTTTTCACTAGGTTGCAAGTGAATTAAATGCTGCCATCTTAGAAGCAGAGAATCGTGAATCAACTCCTAAGCTGACCAACCTACTCAAACTATTGCTCTGGTCACAGGAACAACTGGACGCTAAGAAGGTCAAGTTTCCAAAGCTTAAGAACCTCGCTTCCGGAGAATTTGAGGATCCGAAATAAACTCTCTCTAATCACTTAACCGTGGCATTATTTATTCCAGATGAAATGATGGGTACCTTCAGGTTGAATGGCTGAATTGATCAGCACCGGTTCTTCAGATTCGCAATAAGTACATTTTTCTCTGTTACAGACAAGATTATGATGTCTCTGGAATGATTCTGTATAAATGATTGTGTAGGCAAGTAAGCCCTTATTCAGAGGGGAAAATGAAAGATTGTGTATTTGACCATGTGTTGCTAAAAGCAATGATTTTCATGCTTTGCTTTTCGTAAGAAAAATATGCATGCATTTTAATACACATATAACTGGTGCAGAGATGATGTAGATTTCATAGGAGTTAACTTTCCTTCTATTTATTGCTCAATAAATGGATTTCACTTCAGGACTTTATATCAAAATGCAAGTAAAATGATCGCCAATTATTGCAAATCATAGATGTGTCATGGTCTAGTGAATATGTCACTGGACTGTGGATCACATAGTTCCTGGTTTGATTCCCTCTGCGGCACTAATGCCCTTTGGCACCACATTTATCTACATTTGCCATTCTCCACCCAGGTGTTAGATGGGTATCCGGTAGGATGCAAATGTTAATGTAGTTTGATTGGCATGTGTGCGCTTGTATAATTGTACCTGGCCAGATTATTCCCCAGGAAGAGGAGAGTGTGCACTCTTGTATTTGGATAAGCTTTCGAGTCTGATGACCGGGGTTATAAGAATTACAATGTAGAAGTGCTTACAAACCTAGTATTAAGCGCTATACAATGGGACTATTATTATTATTGCAAGTGCTGAGGCCTGTTGCGTAAAACTTACCACTGATGGTAACTTTCAACAGCCAATCAAATCAAGGTTTCCATGGAAGTTACTACCGGTATTAATGGCAAAGTTTTCATCAATGGTAAGTTTTATACAACAGGGCTCTAGGTAAAATGTGCATATAAACTCAAGACTTAAAGCTAATCTTGAGCTCTGGTATGGGAATTGTATTTTGAGAGAAAATTGCTATGATTTATTCTGACCGGTGTTCAACACATGGTGTCGGGCCTACTTTCCCGGATTTCCTTATCTTTTTATGCCCATTACTCAGCCACTATACAAACATTCAGTGTGAGTTTTGTTGGGTTCTGTGAGAATATATTTTCTATTTTTACCAGAATTTAAGTTTATCTTTAATGAAGTATAGAAATGTGAGCTTTTATGAGGAAATTGGTACTAGTATTAGTTGACTAGTCTCTCTCTTGGTGACCTGCTAAACCTTAAAGGCATCGTTTAACAATGTTAAATCTGAGTTGCATGGCCCCACGTGTTATCAGTGTCTGTGATATGGTGTAATATTGAAGCCCTAAAAAATGGCGCTTCAAAATGATCATGAAGTGCCTCAAAAACGTAAAAAGCTTTGAGTAACCAGTTTTACCATACCGGTAGTCATTTTCCCCAATAGACTGCAGTGTTATGAATACTGTTAGGGGGGGGGGGGGGGGGGGGAATTGATTTCCAATCATAAATATCTTGATAATCAGGCAGGCGATCGGCTTGTAAAAGTCATGGGGTTCCTGACTGACCTAAAGGTTATCAATTATGATTGCAGTATGAGCTGCATCCCGCATTTCGTTTCAGAATCTGAGACCATGTTACCCAATCCCTTTAAAGCTAGGAGACTTGGCATCGAAAGCATTTCATTTTGCCTGTGGTTATTTTTTTCTTTCTGGTATGTCATAATATCACTCTTGTTGCCAAGAGAGGAAAACTACATGTGTTTACTCTTGTTGGCAGTAGTAGAGCAGTAGAGGTCAGCAGATTATAAGCTTCACCATGACCATGATTATTGCTCTTGATGTAAGGGGTTTGATGTGGTTATACTGTATTCAAGATCTGGGGGATGTTTCACAAAGATCCTAAGTTGAACTTAACTCTAAGTTGGACTTCAAAATTATGGAGAGCCATTCGTAGCCTTAAAATAAAATATATTCATAAGCCAAAAGTCAAGTATTTTAGACTTTTTATAAATTCCACATCAAGAACATGAAATCTCCTTGATAATAGAAAATATGAATGATTTGAATCAACATTTTATATGACTTTTACAACATTTTTCATAGATACTAACGGCTTTCCATAATTTTTAAGTCCAACTTAGAGATAAGTTCAACTTAGGATCTTTGTGAAACACCCCCCTGATCTTCAAATAGATGAGGATTCAAAGCTAGTACATGTATATACATAGATGTGTTTTGGTATAGTGGATACGTCACTGGACTGTCAACTACAGGGTATTGGGTTCAAATCCCTGCCACAACACTAACATTTTTGGGCAAGACATTAATCTACATTTGCCACCCTTGACACAGGTGAAGTAAATGGGTACCTGGTAGGAATTACTTCCTCTAAAATGGTAAAGTGCCATAATGGCAGCCATGCTAAAGCCGGGGTAATAATCGGGAGCGCCAAGAGTGTCGAGCTTGAAAGACATGTGTGCTATACAAGAACCCACAATTATTATAATTATTTTTATTTTTTTTATACCCCTTCTAGACAATACATTGCCAACGCTCTGGATTTTTCTTTTGACTTGTGGTTTGTCTGAGTTTATAATTTATATGACTCCTGCTCAATTCTCTAAATCCTATAGGCTTAATATAGGGACCGGTTGGTTGCTGTAGGAAACAGGTTTTAGTGCCTTTGATATGGATAGCATAATGTGACATGTTGTCGGACTATTGCATGGATTACTGACCCATCCATATTCCCTGTATCTCAGTCGTGAAATTAGATAAATTCAAGATAAAAAGGATAATGAATTTGAGTGAAATAGTTCAGGAATCAATATTTGTTCTAAATTTTACTCACAAACTCTTTACACTCCATTCATCAATGAAATGTTTCTCCAAAATACTTTCTATACTTGTCATCCCTAACCTTACGCCTTCCCTATTGTTTTCAATGTAAAAATGATTATATTGTGCTAACAAAATGTAATAATAGTTAGATAATCAACAATATAGGAAATATGAAATGAGATCGCACAATATTTATCATTAAATGCAACTTCCATGTTATTCGTAAGAGTAAACAGTAGGCCATTTTCGTAATGCTATAACATTTAATGCTTAAATCTTTTTAAAGTGCATTGTGACAAATTCTTTGATTCACCCGTTATGAATAATTGTATTTTAATAGCTGGAATGCCAATTGCATGTATTAATTGTTGCTAGGTAGGACATATATTAATTATGGCCTGTTCTACGTTGACAGTCTACTGAACAACACAGAATTTATGCAATTTGCATTCCAACTATTGAAATACAATTATTCTTAACAGGTGAATGAAATAATTTGCAATGAGGCACTTGACAAAAATTTGTGCATTAAATTTGTTTATTCATGTACAATGTAATGATACAAAAATTGCTTATTGGATAACAATATCTATACACCTATCTTTTTTTAATGGCCTGATATTGACAATCCACAAGTATTGTGTTCTGTACGCTGATGCTGTTACAAGGCTAATGATAATCATTGTGTGCACATTAAGTGTTCATGCATCTACTGCTTGCACACAGGTCCTAGGGATTTTGATGTGAAAATAGTGATGAAAATGCAAAAATGGAACAAAATTAGGTAGCTTTGCAAAATGTAATGTCCCAGAAACACGTGCCTAGAATGCAAAATTTAGAATAGTTGGTGATGTTTACCTTTAATTAGGTTATTTTCTTCCATATCTCAATTAAAGTTAATTTATCATACAGACGATGCATTCACCGGTTCCATATCCTAGCGATGTAGTTCTACCTCAGTGTTGTAAAGTGACGATTCCCAAAATCGTACTGTTTGAATTCCGGACGCACCTTTTCATGCCATTACATTTCGCTTAGCTACCTTCCCGTTAACTCATTGTCGTTAGTGGTTTCCAAAACTAGTTCAAATTTGACAATTCTAAAATCCTAGATTGGTAGGTCCTGTATAGCTTGTGAATAGGACTGAGATACAGGTACTTTTTAACCTGTGGTTTATCTATTTTATTTGTTTATAGCATTGGCAAGGAGGCAGGCATTAAATTAGAAGTGGGAGGGGACAAGAAATATAAGAAATTAGTCAAATTACCCTTGATTTGTTAGAACGCGTTCAGATATGACACGGAAAACCGCTGCGTTTTTTTTGATGACGAGAATAATTCCCTACTCATTTCTGTATCTCGTAACACAGAGCTTATACGCGCAATTCTTATGAAGCTTGCAGTTGCCTTTCATTTGCACGTTAAAAAAAATAAAATAAAAATAAATGAAACGCAGCGGCTTTTTTGCAGCGGATTACCTCGTCATATCTGAACGAGTCGTTGTTTAACATTTATGCAAGTATTGCATCAATCATGTATTTAAGATACTTGGATGTTATGGAAATGGAAAAGAAAAAAACTAAAAAAGATATGTACATAAATAAAACAAAACAAGATTGATAAACAGTGTATTCTGATTTGTTTTATTTTATTTCATTTTGTCTTTACATCGCATAATAATCATCTATTTCCACATTACAATATAATCATTTATTACCACATTACATAATAATAATCTATTACATCTATTACCACATTACACATATCCCATAAAGAAGCATTAAATGATATTGTACTGCATACAAATCTCAAATACATTCTATACATCCCATAAAGAAGCATTAAATGATATTGTACTGCATATAAATCTCAAATACATTCTATACATCCCATAAAGAAGCATTAAATGATATTGTACTGCATATAAATCTCAAATACATTCTATACATCCCATAAAGAAGCATTAAATGATATTTGACTGCATACAAATCTCATAAATACATTCTATACATCCCATAAAGAAGCATTAAATGATATTTGACTGCATACAAATCTCAAATACATTCTATACATCCTATAAAGAAGCATTAAATGATATTGTACTGCATATAAATCTCAAATACATTCTATACATCCCATAAAGAAGCATTAAATGATATTTGACTGCATACAAATCTCAAATACATTCTATACATCCTATAAAGAAGCATTAAATGATATTTGACTGCATATAAATCTCAAATACATTCTATACATCCTATAAAGAAGCATTAAATGATATTGTACTGCATATAAATCTCAAATACATTCTATACATCCCATAAAGAAGCATTAAATGATATTTGACTGCATACAAATCTCAAATACATTCTATACATCCTATAAAGAAGCATTAAATGATATTTGACTGCATATAAATCTCAAATACATTCTATACATCCTATAAAGAAGCATTAAATGATATTTGGGAAGCATTGAATGATATTTGACTGCATACAAATCTCATAAATACATTCTATACATCCCATAAAGCATTAAATGATATTTGACTGCATACAAATCTCATAAATACATTCTATACATCCCATAA